GGTCAATATCTTCACAAAACCTCTAGCTCTTGATCATTTCTCACATATTAGAAGGGGTTTAGGGATTATTGATGAATCCAAAATACATAATTAAGTACATTCAATTAAATGTCTTTATTATTTCACATACATCACATTTAGTTTTTTTTTTTTTTAAAGGGTGGACCTACCCCGACGATCGATCGAACCGTTGGGTTATATGGCTCTTTCCCTCCTTTTTTTCTCTCATTTTTTTCACTCTCTCTCATTCTTCCTCTTCCCCTCCATAGATCCACCTTCAATCTCACCAAATCTTTAATCAATCCTCTTGATGTACTCAATATTTCAAAAATTCACCACTTCTTCTTCTCCAAAATCCAAAAATCCTCATTTTTCTTCCACTACAACTTTCTTTTTCTTACTATTTCGGTTGACCGCCTCTTTAGCCAATTTCTTTCGTTCTTCATCATGCTACGGGTCAAGATTCCAAGTAAGAATCCATGGAAGAAGAAGGTGCCAGATTCTTCTTCATCGAAGGATGAGCCCGAGGTACCCAAAAATCACTTTGATAAATCACCTATCCTTATAGGTAAAATTGTAGATTTTACTAGTTTTACTCTTCAAGTACCTGAATTTCATAATAAAGAATTTTTCTTAGGTATGGGTTGGGTCTCTATTGCATCTATGGAAGAATATGCATATCCTAAACTCATGAGAGATTTTTACAAAAAACATGGTATAAACTCCTCATACAGGTAGCATTTCTTTGTTTTTTTTTAAAGGAAAATATAAATAAATCTCTTATACGTTCTCTTCTTGGGTTGGAAGAATGTACGAACCAAGTATTTTGTCATATGGCTAATCCACAGTGTGATAATTACAATCCTATCATTGCATGTCGAAGAGTTACCGGAAAAGACTTTGAACATCCGATAAAACTCGGTTCCCACCAACTTACATTACCTTGCAAAGTCTTATACCTTATCATTGCCCACATTATCCTCCATAGGAAGGGTCATCTTGATGAAGTTACTCACTTCGACCTATTCCTTCTTGATTCCTTCATAGTCGGACGAAAATTGGATTTTCCAATAATTACCATTGGTCATATGAGAATTGTCCACTCTGCTACTCGTATCAAGGCCTTACCATATAACATGCTCCTCACTAAGATTTTTAAACATTTTGAAATTCCTCTCAATGTTGAGGTATTCGACTCCTTCCGACCCACCGAAACTATCAATATTCACACTTTTAAGCAAATGAAAATTGTTAAGGAACATGGGCAATGGTTGGCCCATATTAAGGGATTTGATCCGGACTCTGGACCTTCGACTTTACCTCTCGAAGGAGCTGAAGACGAGGTTGGAGATGATCGTGAGGATGACGCGCCACAGATTCCTAGTCATCCTCTAACATCCCGGGATCGAGTGCTCCCCCATCTTCTGGAGGCTTTACTTTTACCGAGGATCACTACAATCTCCTCAACGATCGCATCGATTCCCTCACATCCTCCGTTGACGGGCTTGGAGGGATGTTTCACCGTTTGCAAGTTCAACAGGATGCCATGCAAGCTCAACAAGAGGCAATGCAAGCCCAGCAAGATGCCTTCTATACTTACTATTCCACTCAACAAGAGGCAATGCAAGCTCAACAGAATGCCTTTTATGCTCAGTTTGATGCACTCTTTCTACCCCCGCCTCCTTCGGATTCTTAGATACATTCTATGCATATGTACTTTAGACCTTATGTTGTGCTATCCTCTTTGTATTGTTATTGTTTGTGAACTTATGATCTAACCTATCTATGGAATATCATATGTTATAATCTTAAATGCTATATTCTTTTTGCTTATGACAAAAGGGAGAAAATATGATATGATGATATGCTTGATGATGATATAATACTTGAGATAATAATCGAAAATGTTTTGCCTTCATAAACATATGTTTTAAAACCTTTTGATTATTGGTTTGTAAAAGAAAGGGGGAATATATGGATCACATGAAAATTTTAGGATTTATATTCTTTACCTATTGTTCAAAATTATCTTGCAAATCATTTTGTTTGTCATAATCAAAAAGGGAAAAATTGTTGACATATGGTTAATTTGAAATCTCAAAGTTTTGATTATAACAAACAAGGTGGTCTTATTTACTAACGAGTTGATTTCAAGTGATTATAGTCTTTCAAATGCGTATAAAGGAAAATTGATCAATAGTCGTCAAAAGACCAAAAGCTATCATCACAAATCGAACTCTTGAAAGAAGTCAAGATCAAAACCACATTCAAGATATTAAGAGCCAAACTTCGAAGCAAGATCAAATACTCGTTTCTTAACTAAGAATATAAAGGTACAAAAACTTTGATATATGGCATGAATGACAATATCTCAAAACCGTTCCATACAATAAAAACTACTTAGTGCATTAAAAAGCGAATCGAATACGATGTTTTGATCAAGTGANAGCGATTCGAATACGATGTTTTGATCAAGTGAAAAATGACTTTTAAAGATTAAATTTTGGACTTGTAAAATAATTTTTTATCTTGAAAAGTTGGTGAAAAATACTCACCAAAAGACCATATTTTTTAAAGGTCTCAAAGCAGAACAAACGAGGTCAAAAAGGATGATCGCTGCTGCATTGGCAGTCGACCGGCCCAAGGCGGTCATCGACCGAAAAAACTCTAACGGTCCAAAATTTGACCGTTTTGATTTTTGATTTTTCCTGTACAAACGATCATATTAGTCATCCAAAAATTGGTGGTCGACCGAACCGATTATCCAGTTTGACAGAAAATTTTGACCTTTTTTTATCTCTATAAATACCAACTCTCTTGTCATTTATTACAACAATTTTAGAGCATTCAATTGAGATTCTTTTGAGCCTAAATTTGCACTGATCTCTCATATCATTTATTGTCAAATCACTTTAGTGTTGAAAAATCTTTGATCAAATTAACTCTTGAAAATCATTCTATACATCAAAGTTTTTTATACATAACACTTGAGTTTCATTCATTGCTATCTATGTTAGCTTACTTCTCTTCTTGTACTCAACTTTAAATCTATCATTCATTAAGAAGAAAATATTTCACTTGTAAATTTATTTGAATTGTGGGTCGTGTTGAGGTCCAGTAAAACTCAACGTTGTAAAAATGTCGATGTTCCTTGCTTGTAAGTCATTGGAAGTTTTGTAAATGGTTGGATTGCACCACAAGTCAATCAACATAGTGAAATTGGCATTACTCGTACCGGTAGCTTGGTAATGGAGGACGTAGATCATTGCGTTGGATTGAACCTCTATAATTATATCGTTTGCACTCTCTATCCCTCTTTACTTATTACTTTCATATTCGTACTTGCTATTTGAATTAATCTATTTAGTCTCTACTTGTTTGAATTTGGATTAATAACCAATTCACCCCCATCTTGGTTAATTATTCTTAGGTTATCATGTTATACTCTCTGTTATGGAAATTAGAATATCCCACGTTTATCACTTGTCCATCTCCATGCACATTGATCTTTCTCATCCTATTCGAAGTCACCAAAGAAACAAACGGCATTACAACCATATTTGCAATACGAAACCGAATTTTTTTTAGGAAAATACATAGTCATTCGGCTCAACTAGGACAACATAAATTTTTTTTTTTTTTAAAAAGGCGGAACAGGCTGAAAACAGCCAGCAGCCGGCTATTCCGACTGTTAAACGTAAAAAAAATTTCCAGCTGTTTTTATCGATCAAAACGTATAAAAATTTAACGAAAACGAAATAAGACATATGTAAATATACTTATCGATTCGAAGTGATTGATATTAAAAAATATTTCTTTCTTCAGCGTTCAATAAATTTCAGAGATTTTGAAATTGAAGCAGATGAAAGTTGAGAGAGTTTTTATCTGTGTTGGAATAGACAGATAAGAAAAGTTAAGTGATTTTGAAATTGAAAGAGGGAAGTGTTTGATTTTCAATTATTAACTAAAAGTATAATATTGTCTTTTAAACAAAACAATATTTTGTAATTGTATAACTTATTTAAAGACATTTTTGTCTTTTAACATCTAAATGGCCAATGTGAAAATATAAAATAGTTGAAAAGTCAAAGTGAAAATTAGACTTGTTGACCAGACCATTCTTAAATTTACCCCTATAACTCCCCTTATTTTTATTTTGTTGCATTTTCAACCCCCCAAAATTTATATCAATTACACTTTGATCCCGACTAGGGTTGGGCAAAATGTCCGAACCGAACCGAATCGAACCGAATCGAGCGGGTTTTTTTTAAATGAAATACCCGAACGGGTATCCGAATCGAGAACCGAATGGTTTGGTTCGGTTCTCGGTTCTAGACTCAGAATCGAAGAATCGAATAAGAACCGAATTTTTTTTTTTATATTGGATAAATCAATTTCTTTTATTTTTTCTAAACAAATTAATAATTTTTTTCTTATTAAATCTTATTAGTTGAACAATTTAGAGTTTATTTATATTTGTTAGTTGTGTTTTTTTCAA